ATCCCACCTCATATCTCGTCCTGGCAAAGCGGGATCATATTCAGCAAATTGTGCATGCTGCCTTTGTTCCCTTGGGGGCGAGGCAGCACTTTCCTTGCAATAGTAACTCCTAGTATAAATGTATATGTAGGTATATAGAAAAGGTACGGTGTTATGAATGTATAGACTGGTGTTTGTATCAAATTGTTTTATTTTCCAAACCACTCCCTCATCCCCAATATGATGTTTCTCGTGAAAAAAATCGATATGTGAAGCTTCCCTTAGTAATACTAATAGACACCGTATATAGATTTTCAGCAATGAAAAAGCTCAAATACAATTATAAACGGGGCATGTATATTGTTCTGCGACAGATAACCATAGTGGACATTCCATTTAAAAAAACTTGGTCGATATAGTCATTTTTGCATTAACTGCATGAACTGATACAGCTCGGTGGTAGCTATGTCGTCATTAAATTAAGGACGAAAGCTCCCTATCTTGAAAACAGATATTGCATGACTGCGCTTTCTCCCTTCATTATCGATCGACATTCCAGAACATTCGAGAGGTCTAATTATACAAATATTAGCTTGAAAAACTCTTCAAGCTAGATAGTTTTGTATAATTGCCGAATTGATTTGCAGCGAAAGCGAAGAGTGGATTAATTGTACAATTCTTCAATCCACGGTTTATTTGGGCTCATTTTGTTAATGTTTAATTGATTTGCAGCAAAAGCGAAACCATGCACAAAACTTGCTTATAGAGGAGCAAATTAAATCCTTTATACCAAAATTCCTCCCACTGGCGCGGAATGAGCTTTAGAAACTTATCGCGCTTCAAAGCTTGCACGTCAGTGATAATTGCTAGTTAAACGCCACAAACAACATATTTTCATTCACCTTTTAGACGATTGTCCAAATTTCATCAACTGTTCTAAAGTTTATATTTGAGCGAGAGTAAATTAAAGAACTGTGATTGCTATACAGGGGTCAACCTTGTACTACAGTCTGGTGATCTGTTGGCCTATATACAGTTAATGAGAAGAAATAGCTGGTATTTGCCTGCTTCCGTCGTTTATGTTACATAATTGTTTATCAGTCTGGTAAGTACTTATATTATCGTATATATACCGTATAAGTTTCTGATCAGTAATCAAACCTGTAGTGACTGAGTCAGGATAAGATTGACTGGAGTTTCGATGGAAATGTATTTATTATAAGATTTTTGCTCATTCTAGGGAAAATGTAACTTCGTATTTTAAACTTCTTGGGATTCTGAAATTCGATAATATATTCAAATTAAGAATTGCTTAGTTTACCTATAAACTTATAAATATGAAAACAAATGTTCCAAGAGCATTCTCATCCTTTGTTCTACAAGCTGCTAATCAACATACCTATAACACTAAATATGCTAATAAGATGAATCTTGTAAGACCAAAAGCAAGAACTAATTATGGAGTTCATACTTTCAAATTTATTTCCTCAAAAATATGGGAAACTATTGATATCGATATTAAAATATTATCCTCATTAATTCTCTTCAAAAAAAGCTACATGAATTTATTATTACATAATCAGAATTAATTTTCAGTTTATCAATATGTTCAGTGAAATTTAGTTGCAAATACTTAACCTAATTGAATTATATCGTTAAATGTTTCAAAGGCCGGCTCGAAAGCTATGCTACTTCGGTATCTGTACACTTCCTTTCTATGTATTAATATTTAATTCCATGTATATTCTCTATCCATCTGTAAATCAATTTGTATCTTTTGTATTTGTATTATCTTGAAATAGTGTGAAATAAACGTTATCAAGTTATCAAGTCAAGATCATGTTTTTGTTCGTTGCTATATTCACAATAATAGTGAATTTAATAAAATTAAATGAAATAATATGTAATTCTAACCATTCATTTGCTCCCATGAACTAATTCATTCGATGAGTTCCTTAAAAACGTGAGTTAACCGCCTGTTTTGACAAGTTTATCGTGTCATTTGTATCTGACTGCATGCATGGGCATGTTTCTTACTTCAATACGCTGAAATAATAAATAAATATTTATAAACACAGTGGATTCCAGCACGGTTAATAGAACTAGTTCAGTATTAACCGTGATTCCAGCAATGAAAAAGTTCATACAGTATTAAATGGGACAATTATTTTTATTTTTTTCTGTGTTGATTACTAGATTAATTAAATGATTACTGCATTGGTCTAGTATTCCTTTGGGTCGTAGGTTCGATTTCCCACCATGGCCAGGCATATTTTTCAAGCCTGCCTGGTGTGGATATGCACTCAGAGTAACATCACAAAGGGACAATAGACCTTATGCATAATGACGTCACAAGGCTTGATGCCCGCGAGGAATGCTGGTCTTAGTAGTCATTGCCCGGGAAAATTAAACAATTCAAAATGGCCACTATCCAAATTTTCCCGGGCATTGACTACTAAGACCAGCATTCCTCGCGGGCATCAAGCCTTGTGACGTCATTATACATAAGGTCTATTATTGTTCTGCACAACAACTTTTGGATATTCCAACTTTGGATACTGCCGTTAAGTTTAATTGCAAGCTACATTATTTATACTATAACCTAAAACGTATTTACTATAACCTTTAATATATATCTGTCTTCAGTTCCATATACTAAATCTCGCTAGTAAAAAAGGTAAAAATTGAATTTTAAAAAGACTGACATCGGATGTTGATTAATCGTCTATGTTAGTGTACTTTCCTTTTGAAAAACAACGCATTGTATGGAAAATAGACCCGCGCTTACGCTTTCGCTCTCCAAAAATGTCCTGATTTTTAGAAGAACAAAAATATCCGCACAATTGGAGGAATAAAATCAAGGCCTCCAAGCATACCTCCCCCCTCCCTCACACACACATTCAAAACAAATAAATTAAAACCTACTGATTAGATTTTGTAGTTGTCCTGCCATGTGCTCGTATAATTCGTGGTGTTTACAATATAATGTTAAATAGTATATTAGTATTAAAGGTGATCTACAGTCCGTATGTAAACAAAGCCTTTGTTTACATTTTTGTGTTCAAAATACTGAGCTTTATTCGACAACTATTTATATTTTCAAGCTTCTTGAGTATATAATAGGCCTAAATGATCAAGAAACAACAATCCGGCTTTTCAAGAACTCAAAACATAGTTAAACTGTTTGTATCATAAAAAGTGGGCTCATTTGTGCAAATGCGCAGATCGGACTGTAGATCACCTTTAATTAATAAGATGAAATAAATCAACTCATGGGCGTACGGACAGAAAAAATTAAGGGGGCGGAAAGAAATTTGCCTGTCTTTTGCGGATTGTGCCCGCGTTGTCGAAAAACCGGGGGGAGGGAGGAGTGATTACGAAAAATTCCTATTAGATAGCATGTTTCCCACAAAATTAACTGAATTTTCCACAAAATTGGCAGAATTTGTCCCATTTAGTTTTATAATAAGCCAATAATATTGCCCAACTGTGAAGCGAATATTGCCCCGTGGCACAGAGTATAAGAGAAAATAGCCTGGGTACGAGGTTGATATTGCCCGACTGGCTTTGTTTGCCAAACAAACTGCGGGTGGGGGGGGGGGGGCTGCCGCGCCCTCCGTCCCCCCCAGTCCGGCACGCCCATGAATCAACTAGCTACTGACGGTTGAAAACATCGACCTTGAAACTTGATCTATCAAGTTGATCTATTGCAATGAGATTGCAATGCAAAGGTTTTTCTGTAAAATTCAACCACAAACAAAACGTTAAAGCGAAACTGCTTTTTATCGGCAAACATTGAGTTTGAAATATTAAAATATAAACTGATTTCACATTCTCGCATGAAAATAACTTTGCTTTCTTCTTTATTTAAAGATTATTATACCGGTTGGCCCAAAAAATTACGGCCTCTTTGATTCAGTATAACCTATAAAGTAAAAAAGATCTTCAATTTAAACAAGAAGCATTGTGTTCAGTAATGAGTAGTGAAGCCCCCCACTCTGGAGTTCAAAGGGATGCCGCCGATGACGGCTCTGGAAGTAATTAGCATGCAAAATTTATGACGTCACTCGGGCAAGCCTGAACCAACCGTGACAGGTAGCGCGACCAATTAACGCGGGCAAGCCTGGGCCAAATGTGTTCGGACAGGCCTGAGCTAGATGTTAGGGGTAACGCGACTGGATACATATGTATTTTGATTGTTTTTTCGCATGACTAGAACATGCTCTTGCGATAGCTCAGTTGGTAGAGCGGAGGACTGTAGTTCCTTAGGTCGTTGTTTCAAGCCCAGCTCGCAAGATTTAAAAGCTCTTTTTAGAAGTCGGGGAAATATATATATATATATATATATGTATATATATATATATATATATATATATATATATATATATATATATATATATATATATATATATATATATATATATATATATATAT